TGGAAAATAGGCTGGGAAAGAGCAATGGTGAAATACAGCTTGAGTCAGTCGGTGAATGCTGCCCAGCTCCGTCCCTAGTTATTTTTGGGTCGTCTTAGAATGTGAGGAGCTAAGCGCGGGTGTGATCTCAAGAGGATGCTGGAAAGGTGCTTTTTTTTTTCCCTTCTTGGTTCGTGGTGTTTTGAAGCCCTTGAGTTTTTCTACTACGTCTGTAATCACTTCTGTATTTTTATATTTGTTTCTGAGAATGCCAGGAAGTTGCATTTCACTCCTTTCAGATGGCAAACATTGTTCTCTGTATATGGTGGCACGAAACAGTAACTTTGTACACGAGTACTTCCCAAGGGACACTGCACTTATGTAAATCATCAGCAAAAATAAAGGCTACAATGATTTTTTTCAGCTCCCTTGGTGCTCAAATAATCAGCTTTTCAGCATCTTGAGGCGTGAAATTTGCAAGGGAGCAGTGATCACTGTACATCTTTTTGAATACCGAATTAAGGAGGATAATATTTTTTTTGTTTATTTTGTAGAACATTATAAACACCACTGGTTCCCAGAAAAGCCATGCAAGGGATCAGGTTACCGATGTATCCGGATCAACCATAAAATGGATCCTCTCATTGGACAGGCAGCACAGCGGATTGGATTGAGCAGTCAGGAACTGTTCCAGCTTCTTCCGAGCGAACTCACTCTATGGGTTGACCCGTACGAAGTCTCCTATCGTATCGGAGAGGATGGCTCCATCTGTGTGCTGTATGAAGCTGCACCAGCAGGAGGTAGCCAAAATAACACCAACGTGCAAATGGTAGACAGCAGAATAAGCTGTAAGGAGGAACTTCTCTTGGGCCGAACTAGCCCTTCCAAAAGCTACAATATGATGACTGTATCAGGTTAAGATATAGTCTGTGGATGGATCACCTTAAAATGGATGGATAAATTTGGTTTTTACTTTGGGTGGGCACCTCTGGGGATGGATTATGGAATTTAAACCATGTCACAGCTGTGAAGATCTGGCACACGTTAGAGTGGTATACTTTAAAGTGACAGTGCCATAGTTTGGACAGTACCTTTCAGTGATTTAATAGCCTGTGAGTCAAAATGATTGCAACTTGCTAGGGAGTGAAGAAGATCTAGGAAGGGTCAGTTTCTCCAAGACATCTTACTTAATTTCTACACCAATTTTCAACCCCAATCTGTATTTATAAAGTGATTCTCTGCAGTAGGTCTTGCAGAGTAAATTTGCACTATTACATTTATTAATTGTTAGCATTTTTTGGCAGCTCAGTAACAAGACTTACTGTTATGAACACCATAGTACTGGAAATTTTATTTTTCGGACTTTTACCTAGCACTTACAAATATGTATAAATGTACATAAGATAAACTAGTAAGCATGACCTGGGGAAATGGTCAGATCTTTACATTGGCCTCAAAAGTAGCAAGTGATCAGAATCTGCCATGGCAACAGGCTTTAAAAAGACCGTATAAAGACACTGTCTGAACTGTGGTGTTAGCACCAGCCAGCTATCTGTACATTTGCTAGCTTGTAGTTTTCTAAGACTGAGTAAACTTCTTATTTTTAGAAAGTGGAGGTCTGGTTTGTAATTTCCTTGTTCTTAATTGGGTAAAAGTCTTTTCCACAAACCACCATCTATTTTGTGAACTTTGTTAGTCATCTTTTATTTGGTAAATTATGAACTGGTGTAAATTTGTACAGTTCATGTATATTGATTGTGGCAAAGTTGTACAGATTTCTATATTTTGGATGAGAAATTTTTCTTCTCTCTATAATAAATTGTTTCCTATCTTGGCATTTTAATTAATCTCTTGTCGTGATTACCTAGGATCAGTTAAACTATTTTTGTCTCACAGTAGAAATGAAGTAGGTACTATAAAGGCTTAAGAACAACAATGGCACCCTGATGCTAGGGAACACTCGGTACAGACGTGGATTAACGAAGACCTCGTATATAAATGCTTGGGAAGTTTAGGGAAACACAATGATGTACATGTCACTTTAAACCTTTTAAAAATCAGTCAATGTGGAAATAACTCCAGGGCCAATAATCCCAGGATATGAGGAAAAGGTACAGAAATAACATCCACCAAAGATGACTTGAATAAATCCAGAGGATTAAAGTTTACTTGGCTTCCTGATGAAGGATATAGCAAACCTAAATGTCCATTTTGACCTACTTGCTCACAAGTTCTCAGTTCTTCCCTGATGGATTCCCTGCTCAATAAGAGTTTCTGGGACAAGTGTCCCTTAGCCTTAAGAGCAGGTTAACCACTCTACAGAAAAGGTTGCTCGCCTTTTGCTTTCTTCAGATGCAAGACTTTCACTTTAGAAATCATTAAGATGGGATTCAACAAAAGGTATGTAGATCTTTTTTCCCAAACTTAAAAGGTTGATTGAGACAGAGTGAGAAGCCCATACTTAACATGTGTATTCAAAGTTAATGAATGATGTGGAGATGTGATTCACTTAAGCACCACACTAATGTCATTTGTATACAGCTCAGTGGTTAGTTACACTTGAGAGAAATTCCTTACCACTTTATTTACACTTGTTAAAGTGCTGGAGTAAAACTCAGGAACTTTCTGTTCCTTATCACCTGCGTACTTTGTTCTGTGAGTGTTTAATAAAAGGCCTGCCCACCTTGGTCACTTCAGTTATGAGGAGTGCTGCTGTTGCTCTGGAGATAAAAAAAGCCAACCCACAATCATTCCTTGCCAACTAAACTTGCCTAGCTAGGGGTAGAGCTGAGCTGCAGACTTGCCGTGCGTTGCAGCAGCTCCTGTGAGCCTTCCCAATGTGCTGATAGTAATGTGGGGTCTCTCCGGTTCAAGTCTTTGTCTTCTGATGTGTAATATAACTGATGATGTATAAGCAAAACAGAAGACTGAACTGTTTTGCTTTTCTTACTGATTTCTTTCCCTTTGTTTTTTTTGGTGTGTTTTTTTGTTTTTTTTTTTTTTTTTAATTCAGCCTTACAAATACTACTTTTACCATAATCTACATATGTATGTCAGCATTCAGTGCTTTAAAGTATTGCTGGGACTTCTCCGGCCCTGTGAGTTCCTGGCATAGACGGGTGGAAGCATAAGTGCTCCTGAAGCAGTGAACTTTAAAGAGCTTGCTCAGTATCTGGATCTGGCAATAATAGATCTATTCCCAAAGCTTCAGAATAAGCTTGCTTTAAAGTACAGGTGTTACTCGTGCATAGCATCAAAGTTTAGGTTCACATCTTGATGCCTTAAATATTCTACTGCTTTTAAGACGATGCTTTCAAGTTGTTAAGCCTGTACGCGAGAGATTTATTCAAGCAGTAGGAGTACTCAAAGACGTTTCTGTTGCGTTACATGTCCGCAGACAGCATAAAGCGTATCCAAACAGAAAGAAAAACATTGAGCTTGGCTTCCTGTAAAGCTGTATTAAACTTTCATGAAGCTCGCTGCTGACTGAGCTGCGCTTGGTATGTCCTGGTGCTGCCGGTAGTCTTTCCCGCTGCACGGTAAGGCTGGCATCAGAATAGTTGGTCTTTGACATGAGCTGTGCACATTGTGCCAGCATCAGCTGTCGGTACTTGCTTTTTGATAAGTTAAGCATAGCCTTGGGAGGCAGCAAGTATTCCATCTGTGGGGCTGGCATGTGACACTGAACCAAGAACGAGCCTGCTCCCTTAGATGGTTAACATTTTAGTCCTTTTACGGTAGGGTACTTTCATTCATGGCATAATTTTTAACTGCAGCTGTAACTAGTAATTGGTACAACCTGTGTCCTCGGAGTTGCTGGGGTTTCTTCCAGCTGGAATTTAAATACAGCCCAATGTGCAGACAACGTGCCCTTGTCTGTAAGTCCTCGGCATACCGCGGCATAGGAAGGGCTCCCGAGAGAGGCGGAGGGTGGCTGTTGGGAGGAGGCTGTTCCCAATCCTCTGTTTTGGTGCCGGCAGAACAAACGCTGCACTAGGCTAAGCGCTAAGCTAAGCAGTAACCTCGTTGCTTTTGAATTTCATTTAAGGTGCCATTATGAAACCAGCGAGGCTTTTATTTTAACGCAAGTATTACAGATGAGAGAGCACATTCAAGACCTGCTTGCCTGGTGCACGTTAGTTAAATTAGTTGGTTTTTCCTTGTGAAGCACTGAATAATCCTGTTGTTCTGGTGGTGGTCTGAGGGCAGGCTCAGCTGTACCGGGCTTTAATGTTACAGCTCTTCTTAGGCTGACGGACCGGCCTGCTAAGACTTGCTGACCATTCGGTCAATGTCTTTATAAAGCGTACAATTCCCTTCTAATTTATGCCAGGTGAGCAAATGTTTCTTTTTCTCACAGTGTGATCGCTCGCTGTGCTATGTGTGGTGTCAGATCCTGTGCACTCGAGTTTTACTTTTGTATTTCATGTTTGGTAACGATGCTCCTCCTATAGAGAGTGGTATTATATGTATCCTGTAAGAATCTCTGTTCTTCTGTTCCCTTCGAAGTTGTGGTTTTTTCCCTGCTTATTCTGGAAATGTACATCTGGCTTAAGCAGTCATTCGGACCATAATCTTTTTCTTCCTGTAGATCTTAGGGTCATTCTTAGGTCTGAATAGAGATGTGAGGGCTTTCATTCAATTACTAATAATGCTGGGTTTAGTTTTTGACTTTTCTGCTGACTCTGCAACATTTTTCTGGTAGATCTGTATGACAGGCCTCATCATGCCATGGTGGGATGGGATCACGCCATGAGATTTTCTTATTATTGGTTTGTTCTATCAGTCTACATGAGAAATTGGAAATAACCTTTGTGAGGCACTATTCTGATGTAAAAATACCATCGCTGGCTTCTACTTTTGTTGTATCTCGTATTCAATGAGTTCGAAGGATGAAAAAGTCTCTCCTGTTCATCACTAAAGAGAGTCTGCTTGGATCAGAAGATCAAGTTGTGCTGTTTTGTGTCATAGCTAGCGATGACAATTCTGAAGGCTAAATATTGTTAAGCCTGTACGCTCTTGCCTGCTTTCAATTTAAATGGGTAAAGGAGTAGTTTGAGAGATGATTTAGAAGCAGGGGGGACTGTACTGCAGCAGTAGGACCTTACAAAACAGTTCACTGATGTGCAAACCGTAAAGAATCCAGTTAATGCTTCTGGAGTGCTTGGTTCGTGCTGATGCTTGTAAACATTTCTGTCACCAAATTAAGCAGATGTCACTGAACGTGAACACTAAGGTGTCCATCTAATTAACCTCGCTTGCTTACGCTGGGAGAATATGATCTCTTCTTATTGTGCAGGTTAGCAATGAATAAAATGAAGAACATTGCTGCTTTTCTTTTTTTGTGTATCTATGTAAAGCTTATTTCTGAATTTCCATCAGTCAAGTAGCACTCTACATTTTCCAAAGTTTCCTCTACTTGATGCCATAATTTTTAGGGAAAATAGTTTATGTTGGCAAAAGCTGCCACTTGACTGAAGAACATTAAAGCTGTTTTTAAAGAGTGAAACGTATAGACTGGAGATAAATAGCTCTCCGAAAAAGGAATGTATATTTACACATTCTTGGTGTAATAGCAGAGGTTATTTTTACATGTTTCAGATTTACATTCCAGCGTGGCATAAAGTGAACATTGTGAAGCAGGATGTTAATTCAGTGGCTTTCAAGGGTTGGTAGAGCAAGCTGGGCTTAGACAGTAAATGCTGTATTAATGGTTAGCAGTGACAATTTCATCAACAGAGGAATTGCAGGGTATAATTAACATCGGTTGCTGTGACACTATGCTCTTAATGTATGGTTTCAACCTTTCTTTCAGTAGCAGCTGGAGAATGCACTGTGACAAATTATTGCTGATACAAAGTAGGTCAACAGTAAAATGGCTGACTTGCCATAAATGAACGGATCTAAATTGCTGTAACT